CTCAAGTATGAATATTAAATACGACACTTTGTGGTTAATTACAAGGAGGAGGTGGAAAAAAGGCGAAAGGAAAATGCAGCAGCAATGGGCGAAAATATACATAGTAGAGCTGCAAAAGATAGCGGTGGTGATCAGCTCAGCTCAGCAGTGCACGAATAACGGCTGGGCAAACGGAATGAAAATTGAGGGAAAACAAATCAGCAGAAAACGAAAAGAAAAAAGAAATAGAAATAGAATAATGGCGGAATTGAAATGCTCGTAGCCAAGTTTTGTGGTCAACGATGTTAGCATAATTTATGCACGAGCGGATATCATTGCTACAGTCGCACCGCAGCGGTGTTTTACTTACAAACATACTCGTAGGTTAAAACAAGTAAAAAAGTCTACGTTCGGGCGGAGCCAAAACATTAAATACCCGGCGCAAGTATTAAATTAATTGTTTTTTTTTCACTTTTACGAAAACAACCGCTACACGGTAAGCAGCGATGCTTTCACCCCTATTTCAAACAGCTTCGATAGAAAGTTCAGTTAGCTATAATGAGATAAACTTATATAGTTATACATATGTGGGCGGTGTCAGGCCCATTTTCCAAATTTATGTTAAGTATCTTTTTTGAGTAAATTAACGATTTTAAATTTCGAAATATCAAAGTTTCAAGAATTTCTGAAATTTATGGCGGTCGTAATTTTAGTCGGATTTCAATAATCTTCAACGTTTTGCTTTTATGTGGCAAGCAAAATAATCGTACCTGTAGTTTGGTATAAACTGATCTAACGGTTACCGAGATACACATATGTGGTCACCAGTGCCAAACCTAGTTTTTCCAAAATTTTATCATAAACGTATTTTTTGCTACAGAATTACTGAAAACATATATTTTGATTATCTAAATTAGTTTCAGTATTTACCAGGGACGTGAACCGGCTTTGAACCGAAAACTAGATTTTTTTATTAATCAACTGAACCATTAACCGAACCGAAATTTTCCATAAATGTTTGATCCGAACTGAGAACCGAACCACTTTGCATAAAAGTTTAAAAGTTCGTTTAAACAAATTTTCAATTTACATACATAATTTACATTTACTCCCTTATATGGGATGTGGGCGTGGTTGTTGTCCGATTTTGCGCATTTTCAATGCCATCCGTCTTACGCTCAAAAGAAGTATACATATCAAGTTTCGTTAAGATATATCACTCGAGTTATCGTGCACACAGACGGACGGACAGACAGACATGGCTTAATCGATTTCTCTATTCACTCTGATCATTTATGTATACATTTGTCTATATCTATCTCGATTCATTTTGCCTGTTACAAACAACCGTTATGTGAACAAAGTTATAATACCCTTGTGCACAAGTGCGCTCGGGTATAAAAAGCCAGCTAGCTAGCCAGTTAGACAGTCAGTCAGCCAACCAGTTAGGTAGTTAGTTGGTTAGTGTGCGTGTTAGTGCAAAGCCGTCAGCGTTGAGGATGAATGACGCGAGGGAAAACAAATTACAATGTGCAAATAGTAGTGAAGGCAACAAACCGCAGCGCCGCAGCAGCACCAAAAGCTAAGAATAAACAAAGTAAATATGCGCACTAGCGACTAAATGAGCGGCCAGAAAGCAGCAGCAAAAACATTGAAATTGAACGAAATGCAAATGCGAGTCAAATTGCTGCTGCAACATAACCTAAGTGGTGGCATTTAAAAAAAAAAAAATGCTAGGTAAAGGAAGGAAAGAAGGTTGAAAGGATTGAGCCACAAACCGGTGCAACAAAAAAAAAATTGCACTAAATAAACATGGAAATGGCTATAAAAAATGCTAAATGATGTATAGAGCGAAGTAGTGGAAAATATTATGCGAGATAATGGGGGAAAAATCTAAGTGAATGGAAAATTTCAGGAAAGGAAAGCAATTAAAAGGTAAACAAATGTGAATGCGAATAAAAAATTAAGTAAAAACTAGTGCAACATTTTAGATAGCAACAGTCCAACTGGGGCAGCAGCTAGAAAATAAAAACTGAAAATTAAATAAAAAATAAGCGTAATTTATAACTTAGAATTTGCATCAGCGCGCCAAATTTAACCAAAATCGCAACCCCAATACTTTGCCAGAAATGAAATGTGGAAAAGTAGAACAGGCAGCGAGCGTAAAGGAAATGCCGAAAAGAGTGGATACATAGTAGGCGACTGAGGTGAACGTAACCTTACAGTCAGGGACGCAGGAACGTAACATGCCAAAAAAACAGAAAATGAATAATTTCAAAAATCTTATAATTTATTACGACTTAAAAGTACATAAGTAGGCTATGGTAGTACCAATTTAGTGCTGACTATTTGCTAATTTAGTATTGTGACGCTAGCGATACTCGGAAGCTTGCTAGCATGAAATTTGTGCTAGTCAACCAAATACATATTGGTATACTATATTAAATTACAAAAAAAAACAATAGCCGATTTAGAGAAATGTAAATAAAACAGTAATATTTATTAAGCTTTAAACGCTTATTACGGCACACAGTGGTTGAGACACATACATTTTTTGGAGAAAATTAGAAGGAGCAGTAGGGACGTTATTTTTATCTCGAAGATTTACAAAATAATTACCCCATGCTGGGGAATGTAAAAACCGAATTTTCGGTCTTCGGTTAAAACAAAAAAAGGATTAACACCTAAATTAAAAAAGACAGGAAAATATCATTAACCAAATTAAAAAAAAAAAATGGTTTTTGGAAACACCAATCTTATTTGAACATTCCTAAGGAGTAGACGTAGGGCTTAAATTTTTCGTATATAACCTCTAAGGACATAAATCAAGAAAAAAATTCAAAAATGGGTGTGATCGGTTTATTTTAAAGCATACCTCCCATACAAACCTAACCTCAAAAAAGCCTTAAAAATGTCAATCAAAGGGCGCCAAGGAATGTAGGACTCCGAAATTTCGTCCATATATTCACATTTGTAGTAATAGTTATGTAAACATACAAAAAATTAGCAGACTCGATTTACACAAACTCGATTTATGCAAAAAGGAAAGCAGAAACTCTATATATGTTTATAAAAATGGTGCCTAGCGGTGGATAAAACTGTTTAACCATCAAGGTTAAAATCAAAACATGACACGTTTTGATAAAAGTAGGCAAAAAAAATTTACTT